TCCCCATTCCGAAAGAAATGGGGAAGAAGGAAAGGATGACAGATCCCAAGCAAGTCCAAAACCAAGTCAGGCAAAGTTCATGAGATCTCCAGGCTTGGGAGTAATCCGTTTTGGCTGGATAGTCTGCCTTCTGGGCCCACTGGGGGAGTCCGCCAAGCCTGTTAAAAGCAAGGCAGTGGTCATCTTTTTTGAAAATAAGCAGGCAGCCCTGATGATCTCTGGGCCACTTCGGGATCATTCTTTTCTCGTCTTGAAGAACAGTACATGTTCACAACCAAATAGCTCCGTAGTTCTGTCCTGTAAAATCCAAGAAGTTTTATAGCCTTCCTTCATTCCTTCCTGCCTCTGTCCCCTTCTGTTTTGTCTCATGGTTTCCAGCCGGAGTAGCTGATGCGGTCCATGGTTCACACCGCACTGACCGCCTTAGCAGAGCCTCGCGTGGCCATATCCTCCGTGTTCTCTTCCAAATACACGTGCTCATTTCTTTTAGTACAAGTTCGCTGAAAAGTTCCCAGCTCTTTACGTTCTGGCTCCTTTTTGCTTAATCTACATTCATGTCGTTTCCCTCCTCTCTCGTTTTACTCTAAGCAGTCTGGAGGAACCAAGCCACCCCTCTGCACTTTGCTGAGCAGTCTCCTCAGCGAACACCCAGTGTCACTGCTCGCAAGCTCCGCCTTCCTCAGAGCACTGGGACACGAGCACGATCAGATCGTCTGCCACTTCATAACAGGAGGTTCCGTGTCTCTATTATCCGCTCACCGTTCCTCATTTCTGAGAACTCATCGGAGTGGCCTTTACCAATACTTAACCCGTACTCCTACTGCCCTTCTGTTCACGGTTACATGGGTGCTCTCTCAGGAGACAGAAGCTCTCTCTCTAGCTCTCCTTGTCTTTCTGGGCTCTCCCCGCCTCTGCCCGTCACCCTGTGCCAGAGCCACTCCACACCGTTAGGCACGTCCAGTGCAGCAGCGCCCCGCCTCTCAGCACCAGTTCCTGCGTCAGTCTGCTGGGGCCGCTTTAACAAAATGCCGCGGGCCGGGGGGCTTCGGCGTTCGTTTCTCGCAGTGGTGGGGGCTGGACGGTCCACGGTCAGGGACCAGCACGTTGGGTGCTGGTGAGCACCCTCTTCCAGGTTGCCACACTGTCACCCTCTCCCTGTGTCTTCACGTGATGGAAAGCAGAGCACGGCTGTCTGTCGGGGGGATGTCTTTCATCAGGGCCGCAGTTCCATCCGTGAGCCACTCCCCACTCATGACCCAGTCACCTCCTATAGGCCCCGCTTCCAAATACTGTCACATTGTGGATTGGCCTCAACAGAGGAATTTGAGGGGGACATAGACATTCGCATTTGGTCCATTGTACTTGCGTTCCTTTCTCACTGTAAGAAGAAGAAAGCGTCTCATCAAAGCTGGGTGCTTTCACTGCCCAGCCCCTGACGAGTAATCCAATTTTTTTTTTTTAAGATTTTATTTACTTATTTGGCAGGGAGAGAGATCACAAGTAGGCAGAGAGGCAGGCAGAGAGAGGGGGAAGCAGGCTCCCCGCGGAGCAGAGAGCCCAATGTGGGGCTCAATCCCAGGACCCCTAGATCATGACCTGAGCTGAAGACAGAGGCCTTAACCCACTGAGTCACCCAGGTGCCCAGGTAATCCCATTTTTTAAAAAAAGTTCTGATTGAGATCAGCAGAATGAAAATGAAGAACGGGGGCCAGTGCTTGCGAGGTAGACATTCTGCTCTCATACCACCTTCTCTCTTACATCGTAGAGGATGAAACAAAACATTCTTCACTTCCAGGGATGACACGGAGCTCTCCTTTGGTTCCTGGTGGTTCTGTCCTCCTTAAGGTCAGAGACTGTACCGACCTCGTCTCTGAACCCTCGGTGCCGACCTCAGCTGCTCCAGAAGGGTACTAGAGAAGCAGTGGTTCCGTTCAGAACGCGTGCGCTGTAGGTTGCGTGGCTGGCACGTCCTGTTCTCTACCAACTACTCTCCCCTTCCCCTCGGCCGCACTCTCTACAGGTTTTCCCAGAAGGGTGAAGGGAGCCACAGATGCCGACTTCAAGCCTCAGTTTTTTGTAGGGTGGTTGTTTGTTTTATGCCAACATTTCTTCCCCCAACATTAACCTCGTCACGGGAAGTTCATCCTCTGTTTACTCATTGTGTGTATGTAAAAATGTGAGTAAGTTTCCACAGCTATAGGTTTTGATTAGTAAAGTTTAGATGCCCCCCACCTTTATTGAGGAATAATTAACACATATAATTGTATATGTTTAGAATGTACCACTTGCTGCCTCGATAGACATTATGGAATGACTGTCCAGCTCAAGATCATTAACACGTCCATCGCCTCACATTGTTAACCCTCGTGTGTGTGCGATGAGAACACTTAAGACCTACTCTCAGCAGCTTTCAAACACACGACACTGTCCTCTGACTGGTCACTGTGCTGTATATTAGATCCTCAGAACCTGCTCCTCTTACAGCTGGACGTCTGTGCCCTTCAACCCCTGTCTCCGTATTTCCCCATCTCTCCACATCCCCTGGCAACCATGGTCTGTTCTGTTTCTATGAAATCAGATGGTTGTTTGTTTGTTTGTTTGTTTGTTTTAATGATTTTACATGTAAGTGACACCATACAATATTTTTCTTCTTCTATCTTAAGATAGAAGAACCCACTGTAATGCCCTCAGATTTGTCCATGTCATCAAAAATGGCAGCATTTCCTTCTTTTTTTTATGGCTAAATAATGTTCCTTTTTGTATGTGTGACATTTTCTTTATCCACTCATCTGTCTGTGGACAGGTGGGTTGTTCCCATGCCTTGGCTATCGTGAATAATGATGCAGTGAACATGGGAGTGCAGATAGCTCTTTGAGATACTGATATCTTTTCCTTTGGATGTATACCCAGAAGTGGAATTGCTGGATCATATGGGAGTTTTACTTCTAATTTCTTGAAGAGCCACCAGACTTTTCCATAGTGGCTGTACCCAGCTGCATTCCCACCACCAATGACAAGGGTTCTCTGTTCTCCACATCCTCACCAACACTTGCTGTCTCTTGCCTTTTTGATAACAGCCATTGTACAAGGTGTGCGAAGATAGTCTCATTGGGTGGTTTTGATTTGCCTGTCTCTGAAGATGAGTGATGCTAATGACGTTTTCATGTGTCTAGTGGCCATTCCAAGAATGTCTTTTTGGGGAAAGTGTCTATTCAGGTCCTTTGCCCATTTTTTAATAGGACTATTTACTTTTTTGCTACTGAGTTATATGAATCCTTTATATATTTTGAATGTTAGCTCCTTACGAGGGGTCATAGATAGCAAATCTTTTCTCCCATTCTGTAGGTCACCTTTTCCGGATACTGTTTGTTGTGCAGACTTTCTAGTTTGAGGTGGTCCCTCTTGTTTATTGTAGCCTTTGGTGCCTGAAGTTTCAGGTGTTTTTTAGTTAGAGGAGATGAGAGAGGGAGAGAGAAAGAGAGAATTTAGCTACTTCTGCCACAGGCATTTGTGCTTTTTTTTCCCCTTTCTCTTAACCCCCTGATCTTTTCATCCCCCCTTTCTAGGCAGTATTGTGTTGGCTACCGGGCATCTAAGACTCCCCTCCTGCTTCAGGAAGTTTCTGTGTGAATGCCTGTCCTGTGGGATGCCCTGCTTCAGTGCACTTCTTTTCTGCTCACTCGTTTCCTTTGAAAATCCCCGAGTTCTTGTTTTTAAGGTTAAATAGGTTCCAGCAATCCAGGGACTGTAAGTACAATAGGAAACACTGAGTAAGAATAATGGCTCACCTCACAGTGACTGGGTCAAGGGGAATGGGCCTTTTTGTCAAGGAAAAAATTACTTCCTAACAGTCAGAATTATTTGGCATCTATTATGGCTAAAGATATGCCGCCTGTCTATGTGTTAGTTTGCTCAACTAGAGAAAAAGAGTGTGAGTTTGCGGAGTGTTTTGAAGCCGAGTGGTGGCACTGGGCTCCATTGGGCTTAGGCGGGTAGGCTAGGTCTGACCTCTCCCAGGGGCTGCTGCCCTTTTTCCCCCCACCACCTTTTCAGTCTTTGGCTTCTGCCTCCTCTCTTGGTTTCCCTGAAGATTACAACCAAATCCAAGTCTCTTTCTCACTGCTCACCCTCTGTTTTTCCACAAAGCTTTTACGTTGATCTAAATGATAATGGCAATAATTTAAAAACCAACAGGTTTCAAAAGAATTTATTGTAGAAGAAAAAAGAAACTTCAGATGTTTACAATATACTACAGTATTTTATTTTTACAAAGCAAAATATTTATATACAGCATGAATTATTAACCATAGTGTCATCTACCTTCATTTTGCAGCCACTTTTTATAGACAAGTTAGAAGAGAAAGCTCTTTGAGCCCTTTTCTTGCAAAGTAAAAAATAAAAATAGATATATCTGCATTGACTGAACATTTTAAGGCGGTTTGTGCAAGCGTCCACGAGGGACTTCTCCCCACCTCTTGCTGGAACTCCCCAGCCGCCACTAGATCTGCTTCTGCCTTTCAACACCGCAGCCTGATAGCGGCGGAGTAGGGAGGGGCCAGAGGCCCCCCGACCAGGCCCGGGCCCCAGAGATCCCTCTGAACAGGTCCAGCCTGGCTCAGCCCACCACCCGCGGAAAAGTTATTGTCTTTAAAAAAATGTGTGGACCGAGGGTAATTTCATTGGATTTGAAAAATCAGAACTCTCCACCATTCTCTTTCATGCCTTTCTGTAACACCCAAGACCTCTCCTTGAGGATCGAAATTACAGGGTTCTTTTTAGTCTAGGGATCTGTTTTCTGCCCTCACATAACCTAGGCCTTCAACTGAATAGGTAAAGTGATGTCATCATTGCTTTTCTTTCACAGAAGAATCAAGTGGAAAGGAAAAGCTTTTAGTGAATCTGTCAGGGATCCCAGGCAGAGAAAGCCCCCTCGGGCCAGCCCCCTGAGAAGTATGTGTGATAACCCATTGAGTTAAAATAATTCATCTCATTCGGTAACCCCCTTGTACCTAAATTTGATTGTGCTCCTCAGAGCCTGAACCTCTCATTGGTGATTGTAGGCCAATTTCCATCCCTACCTTTCTCTCCCCACTTCCTGCCTTTCCCCGCCCTCACCCGGCCTCTGTGTGTCTCCATTTTCCCAGGGCTGCCCCACAGCAGGCCTCCACTTAGGGCTGGAAGTCTTCCGGGCGGATCTTCATCTCCACCCGTCTGAGGGAGTAGCTAGACCCATGCCAGCCGTACCAGGTGATGCCGTCCAGGTGCTTTTTGTGCTCCCCAAGGCGGTAGTACACTCCGTTGAGGTTGGAGTCTGTGCAGCAGTTGTACCAGTAGCCACCTGGCAGGAGAAGCAGACCAGGGCTGCGATGCCGAGCGCGCCCTGCCCTTGGAAATCGCTCACAGACCAGACAGCAAGAGTTGGGAAGCTGCTTTTGGAACAGTGGCTAAGCAGTTCGAGCAAGTGTCCCCAACAAAGCCAGAATGCCAGCGCTGGGGCTCTAAATCTATTCTTCTCACGTGGGAGTGTCCCCTCCAGCCCCCCCATCTCACCTTTGCGGAGCTGCGCGCACTTATCTAAGCAGTTGTCGTTGTCCTTGTCCTTGGTGCTGAAGGCCGTGTTGTTGTGGTAGATGAGTGCGTCGTTCCCCACGTTGCCACTGTAGTTTCCCAGGAAGAGGCGGTAGCTGTTGAGTTCATTGCCCAGGGCGAAGCGGCTGTACTCCGCGTAGCGCATGCTGCCCTCCCAGTCCTGTCAGGGGGCACGCAGAGCCTTAACGGGAGCTGCAACGGGCTCTCGTTTTGTCCCCTCCTGCCATGCTGTCCTCTCTGCACTCGCAGCCGTGCACCCGGTTCCTGCTGTGGGCTTAGCAAGGCTTTCCCACATTTGCCTTGAGTTGACCCCACTAAGGTAGGAGTCGGAGAACAAGGGTCCTGGACCACGCATCTCCCTGAGTCCCCAGCTGGCCTGGATTAGCCTCTCTGTGGCCCTTCCCATCCCGGCCTGGACGGTGTGGGTGTGTGTTTGGCCGCATCCCCCTTGGAGGTGTGGTAGAGGGGCTTGAGAAGAGAGCAGTGTTCCGAGGCCTCTCACGGCCCTCAGGGTTTGCACACAGGGGAGCTCGTGCCCCCGGCCAGAGCAGGGACCCGTGACTCAGCCCCCCTGACTGTGGATCCCTCTGCTCTGACCCGAGTCCAGCCTCTTCTTAAATATCTACAGCCTTGCTTTTGTGGAAAACAAACAAACAAACAAAAAAAAAAAAAACAAGAAAAAAACCTCTTTTACCTCAACTGTACTGCAACCTGAAGGAAAACCATCATAATAAATACAGGAGCCTATAGCGAGCCAGAGTGGGAAGGGGGCATCCCCAGAGTTGTGCATGGTTGCGTGTGGCAGCCTGCTCCGGCCCGAGGCCTTGTGCTCACCTCCATCTCCACGCGTAGCCGGGTCGGCCGTCGGGACAGCCGGTGGATGTGGTCGTTCCCCAGCCAGAAGTCCCCACGGATATTGCCAAAACCCTGCTTGTACTGCCTCCAGTCCCGGTAGAAGGAGACGAGGCCGCTCTTCCGTCTCTGAATGGTGGTCCAGCCACCGCCGGACGTCTCCATGTCACAGTACACCTGTGGCAGAGAGGATGCTCTGGTCGGGGACCCACGGAGGCTGGCGGAGGGGTGTGAGGGCAACAGGCCACACCCCCTTCCTCCCGTTTCCACAGAGCCTGTGCATGTGCACACATCCGTAATCACGCTGGCTCACTACAGCCACCGTCCAGCCGTGTTGACCAGCAGGAGCGGAGTGGTGGGGAACAGTTGTCAAAATTTTGGATGGTTGCAAGTGCACATGTTGTTGGAGGAGAAGAAAATCCACATATGCTTGCCATGTTCTCTCTTTTCTCCTTCCCCAAAGAATAACTGCTCTAGGTGGTGGCAAGAAAGGTCAGCTGCTTGGGTGGAGGTTATAGAATGATATAATCTGTGTTAGAAGATTCGGTGTTTGGTTGATAATGACTTGAAGGGGCAAAACAGATACCTGGGGTCCCCCCGCCCCCATCCCAGCGCAAATTGAGCGTGTGGCTAGCTCTCTGCTATCTGGTATGTTTGACTCTCTGTCTTGAGTTTCCCTTTGCTTTGGCGGTGGTGAGCCCGTTGCCCCCGGCCCTTCTAGGGGGCGGAGGACAGATGGCAACACCTGGGCAGTGGGTTCTGCTGACCTCACCTCCAGCTCGGGGCTGCCCAGAAAGTCGTCGGGAGGCAGCTTGTACACTCCAGAGATGCGGTAGTTCTTCTGGTAGAGGGACGAGCAGTCGTAGATGGCATCTACAACAGGAGCAAACCACAGGGCTGAGCATCCAAAGCCAGAGGCCCCACGGCAGGTGGGCATTCAGGCTGCATCTCAATCGAAAGTTTTAAAACTGAGACTTCATTTCTACCACTACATTCACATGAGTGTGCATTACAAGGCTGTGTCTGGATTTTGGAGAGGTGTGGGCATTGCGAGACCAAAAGGGGGGTGTATTTTGGCTTTAGTAGTTGGGGGGCTGAGAAGTGGGGAAGCCCTTCGCCGGAACAGCATCAGGGGAACAATCAAACAGGTGCTTTTAGTTTAACTCTGAAATCGATTATCCTGTGGAAGTTCTAGCCTGTGAACTCTGGAAACATTCCAGTGTGTGAGGGCTACATAACAGATGCTCCTGTTTAATAAATTCAGCTTCTGGGACAGCCAGCCTCTCTCCCCACATAAGTCATGAGTATCACATAGGGTTGTTTTGTGTGATAGGGATGGTTTTTCAGAAGTAATGGCTGTTCTTACCTATGAGAATTAGCTATTTTTATCTAGATTGCCTAACTAGGACCCTGATGAAGGGAGATACATTTCTCATCTTATTTCCCCCCCTTCATCTACCACTGCTCGATTTTCAAATGGAAATGCAAACACCCTGAGGAATGCTTGGAGGCCCTCCCCTAGCGGCATTATTAAAACAAACAAACAAACGAGAGCATTGGGCAGGCTGGTTTTCACTGGGGTTGATTAAAATGCTTCCTTGGCCGCCCAGGGGCTACTGCTTTATGCCTGCTTGTCTCCATGTTGCAAATCTCAGCACCATGGAAGAAACCGCCTTTCCTGAGAGCATTCAAAGAGCAGGAACTCTTGCTATCCAGGAGAGGTTTCCCACCCTCTGTGTCTGGGGTTCTTTCCTTGGCGGTCCCCTGCACTGGGCCTTCAAGAAGAGCACAGCGATGGCAGCACTTCTGCCAAGAACCATCCCAAGCAGAGTGTGTTGCAGCAGGGGATGGGAAGGCACATGTCTTTGCCACCAATCCCTTCATTTTCTGTGATAATGAAAGCATCAACTTACTGCTTTCTCGCTGGCCTACCTGCTAACACAGTATGAAGGTGACCCAGCACCTGGTAATAGAGAAGACAAATGAGGAACAGTGTCCTGGGCAAGAAGAGGAAGAGGCACAGTGGGAGAGCTGCCTTTGTTTGACCCCCAAGAAACTCCCTGCTGGGAGGAGAGTAGATGCCCACTGGAAGAGCTGGGGGTGGCCTGGGCAGGTTCCCTCCCGGCTGGCCTGCTCTCCCTCAGGTCTGGTTTCATCTCACAGGCCAGACCAGGACCCACCTGTCTGGAAAATGTACTGAGGATACCTTTCTATTCTAGTCCCACACTGAGGGGCAGGAAGTACATGCTTAGTTAGAAAGCGATTTACACATGGTGGTTTTTTAATTAACAGTGGGATATCGAAGCTTAATTTCATGTTGACCCCCCCTTTTTTTTTTTCATCTGAATTGAGAGCAACCAGTGACATTTAGTCTGTTGTCTCTTGACTGGTTTATGATGTGACCAAAAGTTGTTGTATCAGCAGTAAGTGACAGAGCTGTAGGGTATCTCCTTACAAGTAATAATTTCCCGATGATTCCAGGAACCCAGGTCTCTTCTCTCTGAATAGTAAATTGACCTTGCCAGTCTGAGCCAATCTAACTAGAAACTGAAAATTATTTTAGAAAACGTTAAGTGTGTTTTATTTTGGGGGCCACTGAAAATCCAGATCTCAGCATTGCATTTTCTTATTTCCTGCAATGGGAAAATTTTATTTGAGATCACGGGAAGAAGTAGAAATCTCAGAAGCAAGGAACCTCGAGGAGCCTGTCCTTTCCAGAACACAAAGGAATTCTTCATCTGGCTCTAGGGTCTGTACCTCATTCTGAGCCAGTGGGAAGAGTCAGGTTTGCAAAGAAGACACAGAATCCATTACTGCCCGTACCACTAAATCTTAGGGACATGACAGAACTGTGTTTGGCAAAACTTAGCTTCTAGAGCAACAGATGTTACAGTGTTGGTGTTCATTCCTGCTTCCTTGGGACTGTCAGCTCTGGCTAAGGAAGTAGACCCGTGAGGGAGACTTGAACCCTATTTCTAAGACCTGTGATGTGACTGGGCAAACCACGTTGTCTCTCTGCTCTCTGGGATGTTAATTCCTACCATTCATAGGCTGAAACATGTTGTGAATAAAGAGATGGTGCAGACACTGGGTAAATTTATAGAAATGTACAGAACATTAGAGCCGGTGGCACATACCCAGGAAAATATACCCCAAAGAACCCCCAGTCATCGATCTGATAGCCAGGATTGTAGAAACCATGCTACCGACAGAGACACTCAGCCATTCGAGCAAGGAGGTGATGAGCAGCGTGAGAATGTGCTCTCCTTACCTGCTGAGGTCTGGGTGAGAGTCTGGGCTGCCTGCAGCTGCATAATGTCGATCTGGTTGTTCATTTCTGAGTACTTGCTCTCGGCGTCCATGAGCCGCGACTCCATGCGCTTGGTGCTGCTCTCCAGCTCCATCACCTGCATGACCACGCTGACCCAGTCCCTCTCCTGCTTCTGGCTCAGGTCACTCAGCAGGCTGCTTAGGTTGGCCATCTGGGCCCTGAGCTCCTTGGCCTCCTCACAGCAGGCGGCCACTTTGAGCTGCGCAGGGGTCCTGCGTTTCGGGGGCTTCTGCAGCCACACTGGGTGGCTGACAAAGGCCGTGATGAAAATGCAGAGCCAGGTCACCACCGAGAGAGTCTTTTTCAGCATCTTTCCTGGGCCTGGGTGAGGAAGGCTCTTCCTTCTGGGGATCTGGAGATGCCCAGCTGAGGTCTGCAAAAGCCGGAGCAAATGACGAGTTGGCACTTTCTCTCTGGGTGGGCTCCCCACGTTCTTGCTTTCTCGTCCTGGGCTCTTTCGGAGCCTTTCTCAAAGCTTGAGTTTGAAAGTGCAGGTTAATTGGGCTCCCTGTACCTTTCCTTCCTTTCCCTGAACACCCTACAGACTCAGCATCTTAAATATTATCTGCCGTCCGTACCTCCGCCCCCGCTGCGGCCTGCGTGGGGCTTTAGCCCCTCCCAGCTCATCTGGGAGGGTCAGGTGCCTGCTGGGTGAAGTCAGCGTAAACTTAGGCCAGAGGGGAGGAGGGAGTCAGGGCCGCGTCTTTCTTTCCTTGCCTGCAAAGTCTCTGGGCTGAGACAAGAGGACTATGAATTTGTGTGTTTCCAATTTCAGCTATTAGATTATGCCCCTGCCAGCCACTGGCTCAGCTCTATCAGCGAGCCGGGCAGGGTCAGAAGAATTTCCAAATTCCATTTGGAAGGTTACATAACTGTGGGGTGAGTCTAAGGTAGGCAGAGAAGTTGGGACGAAGGTTCCCTGCTCGCCCAGGGAGGCCTGTAAATGAGCATTTGGCATATACTTTGGCATCCTGCTGAGCGAGCTTTTAAACAAGGCCGGTTATTCCTTTCTCTGATCATCATTCAGTGTTTTACAAAACCCTTATTCCATCCAAATCTAACATTGTGTCCCATTTGAAAATCTCTAACTTAGAAGAGCTCTAGAAATAGGATAATCGTCTCAGGAAGCAGAAAAAGACTCGTAGTTGGTATCCACAGGATTTGCTCAGTCGTCTTTCTTTGCATGTACTTTCTCCGTCAACAAGTGGGCCAGCATTAGCTTCTCACTCTTGGCATTTGACAGGGAGATGCTGGAGAGGACAGCAGGGACAGAAACTCAGGAGTGACGGACATGGCTCTGGGATGGTCCTGCACGCTTGCATCCATCTGTAGGCACAACAGAGAACAGGCCCATCCTTGGCCTGTTTCAAAACTTGGAGCAGACATTAAATCATAGGGAGAGGAATCCCCATCGCATAATAAATCCATATCTGCAATGTCGTTTCCCTCGTCCTGTGTAATACAGTCTGCAGATCTGAAGCTGTTCTTTCTGTGTGATACATATCCCTGAAAGTAGGGTTACTGTCATGTCTCATGTACTGTGTTTGAAGGGCACTACTCCTTTGAAAACAAATAGGAAGAACCTGGGATTTCAGCAGACCTTAAATACTTAACATGAGCTTTTCATGGAGAATGTCTACAGAGGTCCCTCCATCCTTAGACAGTAGCGAACTCTGTCTTTGGAACACACTCTTGCTGTTTCTGTGTTAACAGAGCCACTGAGGCAGTCCTCATACTGTTGCCATCCGGTGTGGGGCTTTCACGCACGAGCCTGACACCTGACAACCAACCAACCCTCCCTTCCCTGCCACAATTACCCCAGAGTCCTTTTCCAGTTGGGACTTCTGGCTCCCCAGGAAGCTAGAGTTACCAAACAGTTTGTTCCTCTCTAAAATGAAAAAGCGGGAGTGGCTCGGGTAGATCCGGGTTTGTTTTCCCCCCTCCCTAGTCTCCTTGCCCACTGAGGGGTGAGGCTTTGGCTGGCACCCTCTAGCAACTTGTCATCCCCTGTCCAGCATGGGCAGCCAGTCCCCGCTCTGTTGGCGCAAATACCCAGCCCAGCTGGGCACTACGGTGTGCCCCGTAGCGTTCACTAACACGAACCCGGCCCCAGCTGTCAGCATCCGACTGCCCGCTGAACCCCGTGAGGATCTTCGAGCCAATCTCCTAGCCAACAACCCATGCTGAGCTCGTGCCCCAGGACCCACACAGCCACGTGGAACGTCACGTGTGACCCTGCCATCTCAGCACTCCACAGCAACACACAGGACAGAGTACCGGGAACAGTGGGGCCTTAAGGATTCCCAGCCGGCTTTTTGTTTGTCCTTCCCAGTGGCCGCTTACCCAGCCCAAACAGGAAACTGTTATGAATAAATTTTCATATTTGGGCAGAAAGTGAATCAGTCATTTGTAGAGCAATCCGTTCTAGGGGTTCATAAGTTTGGATCAGAAGCATCTAGCTGTTAGCATGAATGCCTGCTCTCTGACATGTATTTTCTGAAAACCAATTTCTAACATGAGGTGTAAGTTGGACACAGAGGCTTTCCTTATTTGAAGATTTTCTTACATCACCTAAGCTGCCCAAATGTCAGTAAACCCCCCCGATTTTTAAAAAATTAGCAAATTAAGAGTGTTCCCCATGCCAGATTATCAGCCGTCCAAACATCCACAACCCTGTGATGTCCTAGATTCTGAATTTCTGAAAGAAGGAAAAAGTAAACCCTTGTTTTGAGTACAGCTAAGCCAGTAGAGAAAACCAGGAAGGATGTGGCAGACTAGACCGGTTTTCCTTCTCCAAACGGCTTTTTTACTCGCTTCTGTGCCCTTCAGCGAATAAAGTGACCATAAAAATGGGAATTAACTGAGAAAATCTGCAAAGCCGGTGTTGGACACCTTGCAGTTTTTCCCTTTCTCTATTTTGCTGGTGGTGAAAGAGGGTTACCTTGGTGTTCCTGGGAAAGATGTTTATGAAAACAAGCTTATATTCTAAATGAGAAAAGCCAGTGAGCTTTCAGCCTGGAATTTCTCAAAGACTTCACAGTCTGGGCTGTGCTGCCTCGGGCTGGCACCAAGGACCAGAGGCGTTCGAGCAGCCTGAGGGTTTCAGAGCAGGGAAGGGCCTCGAGGTGGTCTCTTCTACCCAAATGGGAGTGTCAGGTCTCATTTTCTTGAAAATGTTCTGGTTGGAGAGACTCCTCCTATTCTAATGTGTTCGTGTCCCTGCCTGCTCTTAAGCCATCACCGGCAAAATTGGTGAGGGGGAGAAAGAACGACCCTCAGAACCAGACTCTTAGTTTATTGAATGAATTCCTGTCAGAAGAGCTGCCTCACGGTTTGGTTGGAGAAACAGACAGCTGAGCTCTAGGACAGTGTGACACTCGAGGACGGGGGCACAGAGGAGGAAGAGTGCCTAACCCAGATGAATTTGGGAAGGCCTCCCAGGGGGAGTGATGCCCAGGTTTCAGAGAAAAAGGAGGAGGTAGCCAGGGGTGGGAAGGGGGCATCACGAGCAAGGTGCATCTTTGTGAAAGATCTTGACTTAGTAGGAAGACACAAGTAATCGAGTGTGGGCTTGAGGGTGGCGGGGGCGGCAGTTAAAGCCGGAGAGGAGGAGGGAACCAGGCCTGAGGGACCTAAGGAGTCTGTGTGAGTGTCGTGATTGCTACTCTGGAGACAGAAGGAGCTCTGGAAGGAATCTTTTCAAAAGCAGCTTTTACCTCTTGTTGCTCTGTTTTCCCGAGTCTCACTGGGAAAGTGGCTTTTTGTGGTTGGCAAACAAGATTTTTAACTGGAAATGGGTGACTTAGAACATTAGAATTTCTTGAAATTGTAATTCATTCATATTAAACGCCCTGAAGGGATCATCTGGCTTGAGGACTAAGAAGGCAGCATATGAAGGACTTGAAATAGTTGGGCCTAGAATCAGGTGAATCTGGTTTCTAATTCCTTGCCATCACTTGATGGTTATATGACCCTGGGCAAATTATTTCTCTGGGTTTACAGATCTGTTCAGTGGAGATGAAAATCATAACTACTTCATCTCACAGGATTTTTGGTTAAATAAAACAATGGATTAAAATAATTAAGGCTGGGCACCTGGGTGGCTCAGTGGGTTAAAGCCTCTGCCTTCGGCTCAGCTCATGATCCCAAGGTCCTGGGATCGAGCGCCACATCGGGCTCTCTGCTCAGCAGGGAGCCTGCTTCCCCCCCAACCCTGCCTGCCTCTCTGCCTACTTGTGATCTCTGTCTGTCAAATAAATAAATAAAATCTTTAAAAAAAATAAAAATAAAAAATAAAATAATTAAGGCATTTTTTTCAATGAGAAAACTAAATTCGGGGACACCTGGGTGGCTTAGCTGGTTAAACGTCTGCGTTTGGCTCAGGTCATGATCCAGTGTCCTGGGATCAAGTCCCACATACAGCTCCTTGCTCAGTGGGGAGCCTGCTTCTCCCTCTGCTTGTGCTCTCTCTGCTTGTGCTTTCTCTCTTTCTCTCTCTCTCTCAAATAAATAAATAAAATATTTTTTAAAAAAGGAAAAGAAAACTAAATTTGGAGGAGTTAAACTACTAGAAATCAAGATTTATCACAAAGCTACCATAAGCAATTCAGGCAGTGTGGTGTTGGCACGAGGATAGACTTACACGCAGATAAGCGGAGCAGAATCAAATGTTCCGAAACACCCACACATAAGCAGACACTTGATTTATGACAAGGGGGCACCACAGAACAGGGAAGAAAGGACAGTCATTTCAGTACGTTCTTCCAGGTCAGCTAGGTAGACTTACCTACCTCACACCCACACACAAAACTTCAAGTTCAGAGGAGGTTTGAGTTCTACACGTGAAAGGTAAAAACTAAAGCTTCTCGTTTTTTTTAAAACTAAAGATCTAACAAAAAACCTTATCTTTAGCATCTGGGGATAAGCAAAGATTTTTTTTTTTTTAAGATATTGTTTATTTATTTGACAGAGAGAGAGAGAGGTGTCACACGTAGTCAGAGAGGCAGGCAGAGAGAGAAAGGAGGAAGCAGGCTCCCCGCTGAGCGGAGAGCCCGATGCGGGGCTCGATCCCAGGACTCTGAGATCATGACCCGAGCCAAGGCAGAGGCCTTAACCCACTGAGCCACCCAGGTGCCCCTAAGCAAAGATTTCTTAAGCAAGATACAAAGTACACTAACCATCCGAGAAAACATTATCTGATGCAATAAAGGAGTCATCCTTGTTCATTAGAAGACACTGTGAAGAGAGTAAAAAGGCAGGAAGAGATCTCCAGGACATATCTCTATGTATTCTGTCTGCAGAGGATATGTAGAGCTGTGACCCAGAGATTTTTTAAAAGGTAGCCTAGTTAAAGATTGGCAAGAGATTCCAATGCTACTTATTGCACAGAAGAGGATCTCCACAAGGCCAGTGAACGCATGGAAGGCTGCCCAAGCTCAATTCGAATTAAAACCATCTGCCACCACGAAACACCCAACTAAAGTGGCTACAGTGGAAACCCCTGATAGTACTAAGTGCTGACGAAGATGTGGAGCGGTGGGGATTTTCGTATACTTCCTGTGGTATTTTCACATACTTTTACAGAAATGTGAATTGG